TAAACCAGACGTTAGACCTAGGTTAAAGAAATGGGTTTTTAAGCAGAAAAGTCCTTAGCAGCATCCCGAGATAGTTTGCAAATGATTTCGAAAAATTTACAAGCAGTTTTCGAAAGAGTTTAAATTTGTGAAAATTTGGCCCTAATAATAATAATAATAATCTAAAAAATCTCAATGTCAAACAGGGCATTTCAAACTTATTCTTCCTGGGATTTCTTGTTTTCCTCTTCTTCTCTAACTCAACAATTTTCCTTTTCAAGGTTTCACTCGGACCATCATGTGACAGTTTATGCAGTCCACGGCAAAAAAAGGGAGAAAATTTCTTATGAATTCCACGCATACTTACAGTAGAAGGAGGCTCATATCTATTAAATCGATTATAATGATGGCCGGAAGCATTAGAGAATAGAGAACCTCAAATAAAATTTCTGCTGCCCAAAAGTATTGAATAAAGTAATTATATGATGATAACTAGTAGAATATACAACCAATATTGGTATAATCTGTTGAGTCATGATTTCAAGTTTACGACAGATATCTAGATCTCATCGCCAGACGCACAATGAGCAGAAAAGATGATAAACAAAGGAGATTCTAATGAGTAATTACAAAGTTCAAGGATAAATTCTTAAAAAAATTAATAATAATAATCCTTTTGGATTGAGAAATTCAGTTGGATTGTGCCGGTGACTATTTTTTTTTTTTAATTAATAACAAGGTAGATTGCTAAATAAAGACAAAACACTTTAAAGTGAAAACTACATAACTCTTCTGCCCAAAAGGAAAACAAAAAATGATTCTCTTTTTTCCGGCTACAAACTAAGAACCACGTAATTTTTTAGAGCTGTCCATGACTCGAGTTGAGAATCATACATGTCAAACTTCTTCTGAGATACACCAAATTAGTATATTTCTAGTTCAGAAAAATTAAAGACATCCAACCAGCATCCACACACAAATTTGAATCGCCAACAAAAGGAAATGCAATTAATACGATTAACATACTATTGGGGTCAAATCCTACTATAGGAGGCCAGGATCCACGCTGTCCAACTCATCTACACTACAGCTGTTAATTTTCACTTTCATAGGCGGTCTGTTCATTTGTAGACTTATGATAAAATAAATATTTGCGAGGAGATTAGGAATTCAGTCATTTGGAACCAAAATCAATCCATAAATCATTCAATAAATCACAGTTCAAATTTGAGGCTTCACATTCATTTAAGCCATCACATTCTAGCCTTCATATCAGCCTTCACATTCATTTCAGAATTAGAGAATTAGGTTTAACCATTTCATTTCCAGAATTCAGAATTAAATAAACCAAAATCCAGAAATCAGTTCAAATCATAAATCACAGTTCATTTTGAGAATTAGGTTCAACCATCACTACCGGAAGAAACTTCCTTGCCGATGTTGCCGTTGCCGCTTGGAGTTGGTGTCACCGCTCTACCGCTAGCCTGCTCGCCTCTCGTCGCTCGTCGTCGCCGCTCCAAGGTCGCCGCCGCACACCGGTCACCGGTCGGTCTGCAGAGGTCCAAAGAATTGCCGCCGGCTGCCGCTTGTGAAAATGAGAGTTGGGGTTAGAGTTAGCTTAGCAAAGGGAAAAAGGACCATTTCTGTGTTGTGATTTCTGATTTTTGAATTGTGAACTTGTGATGTAAAAAAAACTTAAGAAAAAAATTAAATTGCTATTGTGTAAAGTGCTAGTGTTTATTTGTAGGGTAATTGTTATTTTAGTACCTGTACTATGGGGTAATTGTGATTTTGGTACCTATTCTTTATTTATGGCGAAAATACAACATGACCTTTGCGTTTTTGCGAATTTGGTACGTAGTATTGACGTCAGTTTGCATGACTTTACGTTTCGGGCTCGTTTGAACTCGGAATTGAGTTCTGTTTTTTTCTACGGGTCGCCAACGAAACCTCTATTCAATGATGCTAATATGAACAAATTATTCTTGAAATACTATTCTCCCAAAGCTTATAACCAGCACACCAAAGATGCGCGACTTCGCGTTTTGGGCCTGCTCGAGCTCGTCCAAGCATGGAATTGAGTTCTGCCTTTTTCTACATGTCGCCAACGAACCCTTCTACTCAACCATGGTTTCTCGGTCAATTTTCGGACCAAATTTATTTCTCATGGGGCTTCCAACCTGCACACTAAAAACAAGAAGAAAAACAAAAAAAACACACGATAAAATAAACTAAAAAAATGAATAAAACCCAACGAAAAGTTCTAAAACGGAGAAAAAATAGTGACAAAACAATAGGAAAAAACATAAGAACATGGAACAAACACTTGCCAAAACTCCATCACTACTAGTTTTTCATTTATTGTCAATTCAAACGTTAAGCTTTTTGGAGAATTTGAACTAGTAGTGATGGAGTTTTTGCAAGTGTTTATTCTATTTTTTTAAGTTTTTTCTTTTTCTTTTCACTATTTTTTCCCGGTTTTAAGTCTTTTCATTGGGTTTTATTCGTTTTTGTAGTTTATTGTGTCCTACGTTTTTTTGTTTTTCTTCTTGTTTTTAGTGTGGAGATTGGAAGCCCCGTGAGGAATAAATTTGGCCCTAAAATTGACCAGGAAACCATGGCTGAGTAGAAGGGTTTATTGGCGACATGTAGAAAAAAGCGGAACGCAATTCCAAGTTTGGACGAGCTCGAGCGGGCCCAAAACGCGAAGTCGCGCGAACCACGTCTTTGGTATGCTGATCATAAGCTTTGGGAGAATAGTATTTCAAGAATAATTTGTTCATACAAGCATCATTAAATAGAGGGGTTCATTGGCGACGCGTAGAAAAAAACGGAACTCAATTACGAGTTCAAATGAGCTCAAACGAGCCCGAAACGTAAACTCATGCACACCGACGTCAATACTAAGTACCAAATTTGCAAAAACGTAAAGATCAGGTTGTATTTTTGCAATAAATAAAGAATATGTACCGAATTCACAATTACCACATAGTACAGGTACTAAAATAACAATTATCCGTATTTGTATTAAATACTTAAATTCAAAACTATTTTTTTTAATGGCGGGCTCGCCCTTGACCCGTCTGGCCCGACAAAACCCGTGGTTCGCGCGGGCTAATCCATTTAGGCCCGCTCTTTGATGGGCCTTTAAAATACCAACCCACTCGCCTATTAGGCGGGGCAAGGTCGGGCCGGCATAGGCCCGCGTTTTGACATATCTAGACATGGCGTATATTTATCACATTACCATTTTTCTTGTCACAAGTAAAAACCCCCCATTTTCTCAAAACCTAAATCTCGAATTTGGCATCGATCTTCCTCTAATTTATGAAGAGGGGATTTCGTGGTCGCAGGTCTGGGCCCCAGCCTTTCGTCGAGAGGGGATTTCGTGGTCGTTTGGGGCTTCGTCGTGCTTCGATGTTCCAGCGAGGTTTCGACTGCGTGAGGTCTTTCGGCGTCTCAACGGCGGGGCTGGGCGGCGTGCTCCGACTTCTGCCGGACAGAAGTCGGAGTAAAGGTGAGTTCCCTTTCGGTATTTTTATTTTCTATATTGTTTTGAGAATGTATAGATTTTGTGATTGTTATACCACAAATACCTGAACTGCTCGACCGCTCCTCTCGAACCGGGTTGAGCCTCCTTGATCGTCCGGTACCTGCAAAACACACCGGGGGTGGTCCCGGCGCGGACACTCCGACGCTCAAGTCAGTGATGTATCCGAGAGAAAACGGCAGAGTAACGAGATAATATGTAAATGTGTGTTGTGTAAAATGAATAAACCTGTGCCCTTTTATAGGTGAAGTTGAAGACTCCTCATGAGACAAGAAGTCTTTCCCATGTGTATCTCTCAATCAGGTCAAGAGATCCCCGAATCTTGAGAGTCCTTGAGGTTGTGAACCTCTTCATGACGTGAGCACACAACTACATCCGGGCTCTGGTCTCCTCGACAGTGCCCTCTGGCTGAGATGCCTAGCTACCGAGGTGCCCAGTTGCCTGGGCGACTACCTCTGCCTAGCTCATCACCCTTAGTACTCCGCCTAGCTCACATTGAGGTAGGCTCCGCCTAGCACCCCTCTACTCCAGAGGTACCACAAACCCTGCCTAGCAGGCTGGACTAAAACCCGGATCACAACCGGTCCTTCATGAACCGCTACTGACGACCACATCAGTGATAATTAGTGATATAGTTAAGACTTTTGGTCTTCTGAAGGTGCAGAAGAATTGCTTTAATCCGGCATATCGATAAAGTCCCAAAAAATTAGTAATTACTATCAGTTTTTATTTTTATTTTTTTCATTTTTATTTTTATTTTTATTTTTTTTGCCGTGCTATGTCTTCTGTTTTTATTATATAAATAAATTCATGTGATTTTCAGCTAACTTGAAGACGAAATAAAAAAAATTAGCAATCTTGGTTTCAATTATCATTTTCATATTGTAACTTCTGGTCTGCTTTTTAAGCTTTATTTGCAGATTTTGAATTTAGAAACAAAAAAAATCAACCAAAAGCCTGTCTTTTTCACCAACCGGTTTCGAACTGAATCTTCGCCATTTAAGAAAAGAACAAAACTAAAATATGATTAATCAAATTGAAAAGTAAACAATTTTAATCCAAAAGAAGAAGAAACTTTCCTCCTAAGGCCTAAAATCTCAATTTAACAAATGAAAACCTAACTAATAACTCAATGTCACCTAAACAAAGACACAATCCGTATGCATAGCCCAATAGGTATTCTTACCACATAGGCCTAAAGCCCCAATAACCCAATTAAATAAAACAGCAAATCCATATCTAACATCGTATTTCCATTTTTCCCAGGAAAAATAAAAATCATCTCAATTTTTGATTTCTTCCACAAGAAACGGCAATGTGGACTGACTCCATTATTCACCTACGATTTTCCATTTCCATGTAATAAATTTACCATCGCCAGAAAAAAATGGGCAGCAAAAAGCCATCTTATGATCACAGAAATAAAACATTACAATCCAAACGGGCCCATGGGGCTGTTCAACTATCATTTTTAGTTAGATCCATGTTTGGCAGTCTCTTCAGCCCGTGTCAATGCATCTGCAAACACATCCACTGTCCAATCCTTGACATCTTCTTGAGAAATTGCACTAGCAGAATCGAGAGTATCAGGTTTAGCTCAATTTAGAGAACTATCACGTTACAAAATTAATCAATAAATAAATAAATAAATAGATAAATAAATAAATATGAGTACACTCCCGCTATCTGTTCTCCAAGCAGCTTCAAACATCTCCCTGGTTACACTCCCAACTCGCAAAACTCCCTTTGAATTATGTTTAAATTACGTCCATATTATTTTATAGATTTGTTATAAATTGATGGCCTCTTGAATAACTTAATGGGTAGGACTCGAAGCACACATTACCATTTGAGGGACGTTGTATATAATCCAATAGGGGAAATAAACATCTTTTTCCAATTGTAGTCTATGCAAATTTGAGATGTCTGTAACTTAAATTTTGTCCTGAGATATTCAAATTGATTTTATCCTGAGGTTTAAACAATTCATAAAGTGAAAAGTGAGAAGGAAAAAAAAAAGATATTACAAATCTTACCCTATGAGTGGCTCCCCAGTTCGTATTTTTGCATTGGGGCGTGCTATCTTAGATTCAAATGGTGTCCTTGGTCTCACTTCTTGAATTGCATCCCACTCTTCACGAGTGAGCATCCTTACACTGCCCAGGCCAGGGGTCTCCTTTATCTTTCGCTCAATCCTTTCCTGTTCTGTGGAGTCATCATACTGCAGGAAATAAATTTGGCATAACTTCAATCCAAATCTTAGTTTCTCAAATCTGTGCAGTTTTCAAGGTTTTTTTTTTTTCTTCAAAGTTTCAACTCCTTTTTAGTCTGCTTATAGCTTTTTTCAGGGTCTTTTGTTTTTCAATTTCTATCTATAATTTTATATGGCCCTTTTTCTAATTTTTAGTTTATTTCAGTTCTTTTTTCAAGACATGTCATCTATATTCGAAATTGCAATTTACAATTAAAATACCACTCATTCACAACTCTCATAGATTTGATTCTTAACTGAATGATCCAAAGATCAACCAAAACAGAAAATGAAAAAGTTTCTCATTACATACCATCATGAGGAGCTTAGCAAAGAGAGCAGTCCCCACAACAGTGAGTATCATTGGCATGGTTGCTGTATCAAGGAACTTTTTGAACTCAGGAACATCCACAAGCAATTTATTCTTCCTGGGATTTCTTGTTTTCCTCTTCTTCTCTAACTCAGCAATTTTCCTTTTCAAGGTTTCACTCGGACCATCATGTAACAGTTTATGCAGCCCACGACAAAAAAAGGGAGAAAATTTCTGATGAATTCCATGCATGCTTACAGTAGAAAGAGGCTCATATCTATTAAATCGATTTTAATGATGGCCGGAAGCATTAGAGAATAGAGAACCTCAAATAAAATTTCTACTGCCCAAAAGTATTGAATAAAGTAATTATATGATGATAACTAGTAGAATATACAAACAATATTGGCAGCGGCGGATACAAGATTTTTTATTAGCCTGGGCAAAATGAAATAAGAAAATACTAATTTTTTATTCAATGATTCATTTCCGTTAAAAAAATTACATTAATGTAAGTCTGCAGTCAACAATTGATTTCGATCAATACAAGATGATAACAAAATACCTAATTCAAATTTCAAACTTAAACATACATATTCTAATAGAAAACATAAAAAAAATCACTTCAATTTCGTTTTTGCATAAGAAAAAAACTTTAAACATTTTATACATCAACCCTTCACTTTCTGCTATAACATAGAAGCATTCAATCTATAAACAGGTTCAACTCATGTAAATTCAACTAGAAAAAGATGAGAGTCTCTGGTCGTAATTTTATTAGTTGGCCTAAGATTTAAGTAAGAAAAATACACCACTGCAGTAGAAATTAATTAAATTTAGTAACCTGTGATTACGTGTATTAGATTAATCAAATCAATTACATAACAAATTAACTTAGTTGGATGACTTGAATATGAGCTAAATTAAACTAAGCTAGAAAATAAATTAAATGATGAGCAACTCACCAAAATTTGTTTGACATTCAGGAATTTGCCCTTTCACCAACTAAACATCAGAGAGTAAAATATTGTTCTTGCATAAGAAAAAACTTGTATACCATATCCATATCATCCTCAAGTTCAACGAGTCTACGCAGTTTACGTCTACGGACAACGAATTACCGGGAGGTTTCGAGATTCAGACGTCTCGACCGAGACATGAAATTACAGAAAAAAGAGAAAAACACAATATAATACAAACAAACAAAAATCTGAGTTTAAAAATTAAAAGAAAAAAAATTGATATGAATTGTTGAACATATATAAAAATAAAATACTTACATTAGCTAAATCCGAAGAATCTTGTTCAAACCATTCAAGCCGTCACCCGTCACCCGTCTTTGAGATGAATTTTTTTTTTTTTATTCACGATTACGAAGAGTGGGATTCAGCGGAAGAATCGAAAATGGAAGATGAGAGTGGGGTGGCGTTCGACGAGTTGCGACATTGACAAATTTTAAAATTTATAGTTGNCCGCATCACTCCACTTCTTCTTCCCTGCGCGCAACCATGGTTTTTTGCCCTTTTCTACCCAATAATTCTATTAAAACTATAATAACTTATCTTTAGCAGAAAAAATTCAGCCCGGGCAACTGTCCAAGCTCGCCTATATGTAAATCCGCCCCTGAATATTGGTATAATATGTGGAGTCATGATTTCAAGTTTCCGACAGATATCTAGATCTCATCGCCAGACGCACAATGAGCAGAAAAGATGATAGACAAAGGAGATTCTAATGAGTAATGACAAAGTTCAAGGATAAATTCTTTAAAAAAAATAATTATAATAATCTTTTTGGATTGAGAAATTCAGTTAGATTGTGTCGGTGACTATTATTTTTTTAATCAATAACAAGGTAGATTACTAAATAAAGACACAACACTTTAAAGTGAAAACTACATAACTCTTCTGTCCAGAAGGAAAACAAAAAATGATTCTCTTTTTCTCCGGCTACAAACTAAGAACCGCGTATTTTTTTAGAGTTGTCCATGACTTAAGTTGAGAATCATACATGTCAAACTTCTTCTGAGATACACCAAATTAGTATATTTCTAGTTCAGAAAAATTAAAGACATCCATCCAGCATCCACACACAAGTTTGAATCGCCAACAAAAGGAAATGCAATTAATTTGATTAACAAACTATTGGGGTCAAATCCTACCACAGGAGGCCAGGATCCACGCTGTCCACCTCATCTACACTGCAGCTGTTAATTTTCACTTTCATAGGCGGTCTGTTCATTTGTAGATTGATGACAAAATAAATGTTTGCGAGGAGTTTAGGAATTCAGTCATTTGGAACCAAAATCTATCCCTAAATTATTCAATAAATCACAGTTCAAATTTGAGCCTTCACATTCATTTCAATCATCACATTCTATCCTTCATTTCTGCCTTCACATTCATTTCAGAATTAGAGAATTTAGGTTTAACCATTTCATTTTCAGAATTCAGAATTAAATAAACCAAAATCTAGAAATCAGTTCAAATCATAAATCACATTTCATTTTGAGAATTAGGTTCAGCCATCACTACTGGAAGAAACTTCCTTGCCGATGTTGTCGTTGCCGCTTGGAGTTAGAGTCACCACTCTGCCGCTAGCCTGCTCGTCTCTCGTCGCTCGTCGGTCGCCGCTCAAATCCGCCGCTTCCTTGTCGCTCGCCGTCGCCACTCCAAGGTCGCCCCCGCACACCGGTCACTGGTTAGTCTGCAGAGGTCCAGAGGATTGCCGCCGGCTGCCGCTTGAGAAAATGAGAGTTGGGGTTAGAGTTAGCTTAGCAAAGGAAAAAAAGACTGTCTCTGTGTTGTGATTTCTGATTTGTGAATTGTGAACTTGTGATGTAAAAAAACTTAAGAAAAACATTAAATTGCTATTGTGTAAAGTGCTGTGTAAAGTGCTATTGTGTATTTATAGGGTAATTGTTATTTTAGTACCTGTACTATGGGGTAATTGTGATTTTGGTACCTACTAGTACGTAGCTCGTGCGATGCACGGGACAGAAGTATTAAATGAGTCATTTCCATAGAGCTTGTCCGTTCAGTAGCTCGTGCGATTCACGTGAGGTATTAAATGAGTGGACCATAGGGCTTGTCCGTTCAGGCCTAAAAAATAATAGAGTTTGATCATTTATCTTTTTACATCTTTTCATCAACGTCATTTTCTTTGTCGGAACATTAAACCTGAGTCTGGTAGCGCTAGCCCGTAAATTAATTAATATATTATCTCGCTCACATGTTTATAATAATATAAATTTGATTTCATTATATATATTTATTCCTCGATATAAGAAAAATAACAATTTTACGTAATCTTGTTCGTCGTATAATACTCATATTATTTTATTATAAAATTTATTGTAATATAATGTCATTATTGTTATTTATACAAGTTATAGATGTAGTCTTCTTCTTCTTTTTATTTTATGTAATTAAAATATTTAATGTATGTTCATATTATTTATTAATGTAATTAATTTAAATTATAAATAAATTTAAATAAAAATATTTTGTACAAACATTTTACAAAATATCACAAATATTTCCTTAGAATTTAATTTTTTTTATAATAAAGAATCATCTTTAAAATTCTATGCAATTATTAAACATCCTTGGTATAAATTAGAAATCATAATTGAATTCTATGCTATTATTAATTCCGTCTGATGTTATGGGAAAGAAATCATTCGGAAAATGTAACAAAATGATAAGGAATTTTAAATTTTAAATGAGACATGTTTTTACTTGAATTCTATGCAATTATTATTTTGTTTGATTTTATGGCAAACAATTCATTCAGGATTTTAATGTAACAAAATGATAAGAAATTTTAATGTTTAAATTTAAATTTGAAATGAGACATGTTTTTACTTGAAGTCTATCTGTCTGATTTTATTGCAAAACACATCAATTAAGGATGAATTCAGTGTTTTAAATACCGTACTGGTGATCATACCGGTCAACCACCGGTACGCGGTATTACCGGTAGGACCGGTAATATCGGTGGTATTACCAGATTAGCAAATATAATGATATATATAAATATACATAAAAATATATAATATCAAATGCAAAATAGTAAAAAATAAATGACCATAATCATTAATTACAACTTCTCAATGAGATGAAAATTAAACAATTTAACTACTAATTTAAATTTTATTTTTTTAAATTAATTTGTTTTTAATTTTTTTTATTGCCAGGTATTTTGGACCGGTATTTTGCGGTTTTTGCGGTATGATCCCGTTACAAACCGGTATAACCGTAAATTCGGTATTTTGAGTGTAATTGTACCGTACCAATGGCCGGTATCCGGTATTACCGGCCGGTACGGTACGGTATTTAAAACATGGGATGAATTAATGCAAATCGATTTTTAGCAATAAAATAATAATATAATTGAAATACTTGAAGGAAATAAAATGCATTAATTACCGTTGACTTTTCTGTCTACTATTTCTAGTAAATAGGATGACTTTTTATATACGTATAGATAAAAGTTAAAACAAATAAATAAAATGATTACATAAAATACTTGCTGAAAATAGTAATGGATAAGAAGGAAATCTATACTTATATAATAAGAATTAACCTTTTTCAAAATTAGTAGGTCAATTCTTAGTCAACATCCTGTCTACATTAAATGTTTACTAAAATTAGTAACTTTTATGTCCTTTTCACACTTTTTTTTTATGTCCTTTTCACACTAGATTATATAAATGAACGGATATTATCTCACCTTTCATTAATCTCACCTATAATTCATGTGAATTGATTGATTGCCTTTAACTTTTCAAAACGTGTGCTATCCATTGTTTATTACTATTATTATTATAGTATGCACGTAATCAGTTGATTAAATAAATTATATATTTTTATTATTATACTCACCACGTGACAGTTAATTAAAATATATCTATACTTATATTAAAAGGTATACCATTTACCAGATTTAATATAAAGAAAAGTCAACAACATATATTGCATTACACAATCTATACTTAAGAGATTCTATTTACTATATTTACTATCCAGAAAAGTCAATTGCATTAAATGTCATTACTATTTTGGTATTATAATATTTTATTTATTTAATTGTTTTATTTATTTGTTTTATTTTAAAAAGGTAAGTATAATAAAAAGATTTTAATAATAAAAAAATCAAATACCAAATAAAAATGCACACTTTGACTTATTTGATTATATTTGGCATTTGATTATACCAAATATATTCCTATTTAGTATATGCATTAAATACTTACTAAAGTATTTGTTTGTTTTATTTGTCAAAGTTAAGTATAGATTTGTTTATATTATCAAATCATAAAAAAATATTAAATCCATATTGTAAAAAAAAAATCATATAATTTTATAACAATTCTACTACACTATTTAACAATATGTTTTTTATTATATAATAAAATAATAATTAAATATTATATGGTGAACAACAATAAGTAAAACTGTTACTTTCTCTTATATCAAGGGATAAATTTATATGCTAAAATTAAATTTTTATTAGTATAAATGTTTTAGTGAGATAATATATTAATTATTTTACAAGCTAGCCCTAACATGCTCATATTTAATGTTTTAAAAGATGTAGAAAAAAAACTTATAATAACTCTATTGTTTTTTAGACTTAAACGTTGATTAAAAGAGGTAAAAATTCCTAATTTTTTAGACTTAAACGTTGATTAACACCATAGATTGAGAGTTTATATTTAGTAAAATTCCTAATTGTAATAAAAAAATTAATTTTTGCTATATTTTAGAATATCTTTAAATTCATTATAAAAAAAAAAAAAAAAAAACTACAATGAAAAAAGCAAGTCAGCTATATATCGATTTGTTGTACTCCTCAAATTACATTCACAATTTGGCTACAAGGAAAGGAAACTCATTGATTAAAATATTATTTTGTCAGTAGTCTTAATGTACAAGAGACTTTAAGACTCCACTTAAATATTATACAACTTTTATTGAACATTGTATAATTTTCTTGCATATTATAAACTTTTATCGAATATTGCATCTTATAATACAATATTCTCTAAATAAATATATTTCGTGCTTTGCACGGGTCATGTACTATATATATTCCGTACATCTTTCTTTATTCATGTATATAATTATAAGCCTGGATAAATAGCCTTAAAAATGTACATCCCGTGCATCGCACGGGCTCTGTACTAGTTTCAATCTACAAAAACTGCCTACGATTGTTTGGGATTTTTTCGCAGGAAACACATTGTATGGGATATAAAACAAATAAATAAAATAACTAAATATAATATTTGCTGGAAATAGTAATGACATTAATTACAGTTGACTTTTCTACATACTATTTATAGTAATTAGGATCCTTTTATATATAAGTATAGATTCTTTATTTATGGCAAATATACAACCTGACCTTTGCGTATTTGCAAATTTGGTACGTAGTATTGACGTCAGTTTGCATGACTTTACGTTTCGGGCTCGTTTAAACTCGAAATTGAGTTCCGTTTTTTTCTACGGGTCGCCAACGAACCCTCTATTCAATGATGCTTATATGAAAAAATTATTCTTGAAATATTATTCTCCCAAAGCTTATGACCAGCACACCAAAGACGTGCTTCGCGCGACTTCGCGTTTTGGGCCCGTTCGAGCTCGTCCAAACATGGAATTGTGTTCTGCCTTTTTCTGCATGTCGCCAACGAACCTTCTACTCAACCATGGCTACTCGGTCATTTTTCAGGCCAAATTTATTTTTCACGGGGCTTCCAACCTGCACACTAAAAACAAGAAGAAAAAAAAAAAACACACGACACAATAAACTACAAAAATGAATAAAACCCAACGAAAAGTTATAAAATGGGGAAAAATAGTGACAAAACAATAGGAAAACAAGTAAAAACATTGAACAAACACTTGCCCAAACTCCATCACTACTAGTTTTTAGTTTTTTGTCAATTCAAATGTTAAGCTTTTTGGAGAATTTGAACTAGTAGTGATGGAGTTTTTGTAAGTGTTTATTCTATTTTTTTTTTTATGTTTTTACTTATTTTTATTTCACTATTTCTTCCCTGTTTTAAGACTTTTCGTTGGGTTTTATTCGTTTTTGTAGTTTATTGTGTCCTGTGTTTTTTTGTTTTTCTTCTTGTTTTTAGTGTGCATGTTGGAAGCCCCGTGAGGAATAAATTTGGCCCAAAAATTGACCAGAAAACCATGGTTGAGATTAAGGGTTTGTTGGGGACATGTAGA